GTGGCGGACGCTCACGCTGAGGACGGCGACTGGTGGAAGTAGTACAAACAGGCGACTCAGGACGGGACACAGGCGACACAGGGCGAGACTCAGGCTGACGATGATCTGTGAGGCCACCTGTAGGACCAGTGTAAGGAGAAGGACTAGGAAGTGGCGAGGCAGGCGGTAGCTGTGACTGCGACTGGACCGGCGGTGGACACTCTACAGAGGGAGGGGGACAAGGCGAAGGTGTCTGACCAAGAACCTGCTGAGGGGGAACAAAGTACGGTCGCGGCCGTGAGGTGCCCCCTGCAGCAGCAGAGACAGCACCAGAACCTCCAGCAGCTCCAGCAGCACCCCCAGCACCTCCAACGCCCGGGTCTGCAGCACTAGCAGCAGCTCCAACACCCGGGTCCGCAGCACCAGCAGCAGCTCCAACGCCCGGGTCTGCAGCACCAGCACCAGCTCCAACGTCCGGGTCCGCAGCACCAGCAGCAACTCCAACGCTCGGGTCTGCAGCGCCAGCAGCAGCTCCAACATCCGGGTCCACAGCACCAGTAGCAGCTCCAACGCCCGGGTCCGCAGCACCAGCAGCAACTCCAACGCCACTAGGAACGTTACTTGTGAGACTGCAACGACGTGCGTACCACTCACGAAGACGCTGGGGAGAGGGCAGCTCCCGCCTAGGTGAGGAAGCACGAGCACCAGCTCTAGTAGTACCCCTAGCTCCAGAAGCACCGCTCCTGAGGCTGCAGTACTGTAAGTACCACTCACGCAGCTGCTGTGAGGAGAGAGCTCCTCCAGGCGTAGTACTCCCAAGGTCAGCACCCCCAGACTCAGCACCCCCAGACTCAGCACAAGCAGGCTCCGCACTCCCAGGCTCAACACCCCCAGGCTCAGTACCCCCAGGGTCAGGACCCCCAGACTCTGCACCCCCAGGCTCAGCACCCCCAGGCTCAGTACCCCCAGACTCAGCACCCCGAGCAGGACGAGAGTCGACCGCTACCTCGACAGGCTCAAACGGGTCTACCTGGGACACACCTGAGGGAGCGGCACCCTGAGGGGGGAGGGGGTCTACTACAGCAGCACCTGGCGCGAGGAAGAGAGGCAGGGGAGGGAGTGGGGCAGTGCGGTAAGGGAAGAGGCGGTAGAAGGGTACCGACTTGTCAAAGGTGACGTCCTGAGAGGCGAGGACACGGCGCGAGGCGGCGTGGTAAAACTGCCAACCAGACGCGTCCGGGACAAAGCCGAGGAAGACACACGGAACAGCACGGGAGGAGAGCTTGTCCGCTGACGTATTGCAGACAAAAGCCCAAGATCCCCAGACCCGAAAACGCGACGCATCGCCAACCTCTCCCATCCAACGCAGTGTCGGGGAAGTCTCCGGCAAGGAGACACGGGGCCAGAGGCTGAGCTGATGCGCAACGTATCGGACTGCAAACGGCCACAGAAAGTGGGGGGCAGCCGCATGGATCAAGGAGGTACGAGCGACCTCCATGACCAAGCCAATGCGGCACTCAGCAACCCCATTCTGCTGTGGAGAGGCCGGAAGCGTGAACGACTGCTCAATGCCGTGCTCCGCACAGTAGGCTGCCAAGAGGTCGGAGGAGAACTCACCACCTCTGTCAGAGTGCAAGCGCAGGACAGGAAAGTCCGAGTGGAAACGCTCGCTGAGCTGGAGACGAGAAGCGCGGATCCAGGGGATCAAAACATCAAGGACCTCACCCTTGGTGCACAAGGGGAAGACCGTGGTGTAACGCGAGTAGTCGTCAACAACTATCAGGAAGTACCTCTCCTGACCCTGACCACGGACGCGGGCGGGGCCCCACACGTCCATGTGGAGCGTCTGTAAGGGAGCAGTCGTCGGGGGAAACGAGGAGGAGTGAGGAGCGGCGCGCTGCCGCCCCTCGACACAGGGAAGACAGGGAGGAGCAGGAGAGGGTGGGAGGGGAGGGAGAACCCTGGGAAGACCAGAGACAAGGTACCGTTTGTGCATTGCCCGAAGGCGCTGCACGGACGGGTGACCAAGGCGGTGGTGCCAGAGGACCGTCTCGTGCGACAGAGAGCGGCACGAGCAGGGGGCAGGCAGCTGACCTGACGCAGACGTAGACGCAGATACCTGAGGGGACTCAGAAGTCAGTGTGTACAGGTCCGACCCCGGCTGCCGTGTGAAGGTCGCCAGGTGACGGCCCGTCCGAGCACACGTGCAGTGTGTCACGCGCTCGTAGGCAGGGGTGAACTGATGGACACCCCTGTCCTGGAGCGCACTCCCCGCCACCAAGTTCGTAGAGAACGAGGGGAGGTAGAGACCGGACAGTGTGCCCGACGAGATGGCCGGACAGGGGAGGACAGTGGAGGAGGTCGCAAGGACTGGACCCCCAGAGGGGTAAGCGAGAGAGACTGCAACGGGCCGAGCAAGCTGCTCAAGAGCCGTGCGGTCACGAAAGAATCAGTGGGAGGCACCTGAGTCTAGTGTAAAGGTGTGCAGTGCCTCAGTCGACTCAGTAACAGGGGACGCAGACGCACCAGCACCTAGAGCAGCAGCCTCACCAGCACCTGGGGTAGCAGACACTCTAGCACCTAGAGCGGTAGCCTCACCAGGTCGAATGCCCGGGTCGGGCGGAACACTCAGGTACTGGGCACCCTCTCCACTAATAGACATCACATACATGGCAGAGAGAATAGCATCAAAGTCTAGAGCAAAGATATCAATGTTTTGTTTCATCAGATTAGCCCGGCGGGGCAGCTCAGTGGCGTCAGGGAACTGAGTACGCCAAGCATCGTCAAGGCGTGAGAAGCAGCGCTGCGTGGGGTGCGCCCTCCCACACGTCTGACCAGTGCGGTCACCAGTGCGGATGACGTACGTGCAGCTAAGGCCACCACACCCCCCCTGCCGGGTGTACCACTCACGGAGTTCCTGGGGCGACGGAGAGTGATGTAGGCTCTGGCCACCGCCAGTGCCTCCACGACCACCACCGCCGCCACCACTGCCTCGACCACCTCCTCCCCTGCCGCCGCCACGTCCACCGCCGCCCCCACCACCGCCCCCGCCGTTGCCACCACCACCCCAACCGCTGCCACTAGCTCCCCCAGCCCCGCCACCACCCCCACCGCCACCACCACCCCCACCACCGCCTCCCCCGCCGTCACCTCTGCCGCCCTTGCCCCCTTTGCCCTTGCCGCTGCGGCGCCCGCTCGAAGCAGACGCAGCCCCGACCTTCTCAGCACCAAGGAGGTCGACAGCAGAAGGAGAGGCGACAGAGGGAAGAAGAGGGGAAGGGGAACACCCCTCGAAGAAAGGGGTGCGGGGGTCGCCACGAGAGGCACCTACAGCGACTATGCTAGCCTCAGCTGCAAGTAGTTCCTTCTCGAGGAGGGCAATGGTGAGCTTAGTGGGGCAGCGAGCTAGGAAGTGGTCCCTGACAGCACGCAGAGTGTTAGGGAGGCGGGTGACTAGGTGGTAGAGAGTGAGCCAGAGCGGGGGGGGGGTTGGTGGCAAGAAACTCGTCGGGCATGGCGGCACGAAAGCGGGCCTCACTAGTACGGAGGTGCGTGATGAGGTCAGCGACTGTGTGGAACGAGGCCAGGTCGGGAAACAAGTAGGGGAGTGAGAGACGGCCTAGTGCAGCAGAGGCAGGTGAGGAGTAGCGGGCAACGACAGCAGTGTACAGTGCCTGTGCAGTCTTGTGTTGTCCAAAGTGCTCGCGCTTGTCTATCGGCAGGGAGTTGCGAATAGCGAAGCGAGCGTGGGCGTCACGAGTCTGCCACTGTGAGCGGGCAGTGCTGTCAGCAGTAGTTGTAGGAGCAGTTGCATGGCCTAGGGCATGATCGTACAATGAGATGTCCTCCTTGGCAGTGAGCTGTAGGAAGAGGTGTAGGTCATCTAGCCAGGTATCGAACTTCACTGGGCGGCCCTCAGCATCGAAAGCTAGCACAGGAGGGCTAGCCATTGCAGCAGTAGTAGCAGTAGTAGGAGTAGTAGCAGTAGTAGCACCCTAAAAACAATAGGCAGCGAGTCAGGTAGGGCGGCTTGGCCCAGGCCGGGCAGCGCGGCTCGGTTCAGGTAGGGCGGCTCGGCTCGGTTTAGGTGGCGCGGCTCGGTTCGGGCTGGGCGGCTCGGCTCGGGCGGCTTGGTTTGGGTCGAGCGGCTCGGTTCGGGCTGGGCTGCTCGTTCTAGCGGGGCCGATGGCGTCGCGACGGGGTGCTAAGGGGCGGGCGCACGGGTCGACGGGGCCAGCTGGGGGCCACTAAGGGGCGGCGTTTGGGGTCGACAGGGTCAGTGGGGCCACTAAGGGGCGGGCGCACGGGTCGACGGGGCCAGCGGGGCCGCTAAGGGGCGGGCGCACGGGGTCGACGGGGCCAGCTGGGGCCGCTAAGGGGCGGGCGCACGGGGTCGACAGGGCCAGCGGGGCCGCTAAGGGGCGGGCGCACGTGGTCGACGGGGACAGCTGGGGCCGCTAAGGGGCGGGCGCACGGGGTCGACGGGGCCAGCGGGGCCGCTAAGGGGGCGGGCGCACGGGTGTACGGGGCCAGCGGGGCCGCTAAGGGGCGGGCGCACGGGTCGACGGGGCCAGCGGGGCCGCTAAGGGGGGCGGGCGCACGGGTGTACGGGGCCAGCGAGGCCGCTAAGGGGCTGGCGCACGGGTCGACGGGGCCAGCGGGGCCGCTATGGGGCGGCGCGTAAGATCGACGGGGCCCGCTAAGGGACGGCACGAGGGGCCGACAGGGCCTCTAAGCGAGGTCGATGGGGCCGACGGGGCCTCTAAGGGGCGGTGCACGAGGGCGCTCTGAGCGGAAACGGTGGGCCCTTAGGAACGGTCCTAGGTTCCTAGCCTAGGCTCGTAATACCATGTTAGAATGAGAGAGAAGTGATTGCACTATGAGAGTTGAAGTACAAATAGCAAACCCTAACTTTGTGTACCCCCTGAAGGCTAACCCACTACAGCCTACACAATAACAACGCATATAATGTTTGACAGAGGCAAGGAGGGGTGACGAAGGCGGTGGTGCCAAAGGAGAGTCTAGTGGGACAGCAGACGACACGAGCAGGGAGTAGACTCAGGACCGGACCTGGATGCCGCAGCAAACACCTGACTCGACGCAGCTACCTGGGCAGACTCAGCAGTAGGAGGAGACTCAGAAGTAAGGGTGTACAGGCTCGACCCTGGCTGACGGGTGAACGTGGCCAAGTGTCGGCCTGTCCGAGCACACGTGCAATGGGTCACTCTCTGACTCGCAGGAGTGAACTGGTCAACCCCCCTATCCTGTAGGTCCGCTCCACTCACCAAGTTCGTAGAGAACGAGGGGAGGTAGAGACCTGACAGGGTGCCAGAGGGGGCTGCCGGGCACGGTAGGACAGTGGAGAAGCTAGCAAGGACAGGACCCCCAGAGGGGTCTGCAAGTGAGACTGCAACCGGCCGACTGAGCGGCGTAAGAGTGGTGCGGTCTCGAAAGAAGGAGCGGGACGCACCCGAGTCCAGGGTGAAGGTGTGGAAGGCCTGAGCCGACGCAGTACCTGTGAGAGCAGACACACCAGCACCTGGGGTAGCAGACGCACTAGCACCTAGAGCAGCAGCCTCAGCAGCACCTAGAGCAGCGGCCTCAATGCCCGGGTCAGGCGGTACACACAGGTAGCAGGCACCCTCAACACTAGTATCAACAGCATACATAGCAGAAAGAATAGCATCAAAGTCAAGATCAAAGATAGCAACCCCGGCCTTAGTCAAATCTCCCCAGCGAGAGATCTCTGACGCCTCAGGGAACTGGCGACGCCACGCGTCCGTCAGGCGACCAAAGCAGCACTGCGTGGAGTGCGGACATCCGCACTGCTCACCAGCGCGGTCGCCGGTACGGAGGACGTAAGCGCAGGGACCAAAACCCCCACCGCGCTGACGCACAGTGTACCACTCACCAAGCTGCTGAGGGGACAGGGTCACACCACTCCGTTACTGCTGCTGGCGCTGACCACCACCGGTGCCACTCCTCTGCGCAGAGTCGCGACCCGCTCCACCACCGCCGCCTCCGCCGCCGCCGCCGCCTCCGCCGCCTCCTCCACCTTCGCCTCCTCCACTACCTCCGCCGCCTCCGCTCCCTCCGCCACCTCCACCGCCTCCGCCGCCTCCACTGCTGCCGCCGCCGCCACCACCCCCGGCACCACTCTCACCACCACCCCCACTCCCTCCACTGCCTCCACCACCACCTCCACCGCCCCCTCCTGCCCCTCCAGCGCCCTTGCCCCCCTTGCCCTTGCCGGTGCGGCGTCTCCCGCTCGGGGCAGACGCAGCGCCGACCGACTCAAAACCAACGAAGTTGGCTGCAGCAGCAGAGGCAACAGAGGGCAAGAGGGGGGAGGGAGAACACCCTCAAAGACGGGGGTGCGAGGGTCACCACGAGAGGCTCCTACAGCGACTATGCTCTTCTCTATCGCTAGGAGGGCCTTCTCAAGGAGGTCAACGGTGAGAGTGGTGGGGCAAACTGAGAGGAAGTGGTCCTGACTACGCGGAGAGAGTCAGGGAGCCGGGTGACTATGTAGTAGAGGGTGATGTATATGGGGGGGGGGGGTTCTTGGCGCAGAACTCAGCAAGAAGCGCAGCGCAGTAGCGAGTGTCACTAGTGTGGAGGTGCGTAATGAGGTCAGCGATTGTGGGAAAGGAAGCAAGGTCAGGGAAGAGGTACGGTAGCACGAGGCGGCTCAGTGCAGCAGTGGCAGGGGAAGAGTAGCGTGCAACTACAGCGTCGTACAAGGTCTTAGCACTCTTGTACTGGCTAAAGTGTGCACGCTCAGTGGTCGGTAAGTGGCGGCGCACAGCAAGGCGAGCAGCAGCATCGCGCGTGGCCCACTGTGAGCGAACAATGGCGTCAGCATCAGCAGTAGGGGCAGGGGAGGCACCAGAAGTGAGGTCAAACAGGGAGAGGCCGTCCGCCCTATCGCACTGAAGAAACAGCTGGAGGTCATCGACCCAGACCTCAAAGTCAACGGCACGGCCCTCAGCATCAAAAGTAAGGACACTGGGGGTAGCCATGACTGCAGTGGCCTAGGAGGAAGTGAGCTCACCAGTCCGAGGAAGGAGGGGCCGGGGAGCACCAGTAGGAACAACAGCTGCTAGACAGTAGGGCGGCTCGGTGGCTCGGCGGCAGGGCGGCTCAGCTGCTGGGCGGCTCGGCGGCAAGGCGGCTCGGCTGCTGGGCGGCTCGGCTACTGGGCGGCTCGGCGGCAGGGCGGCTCAGCTGCTGGGCGACTCGGCGGCAGGGCGGCTCGGCTGCTGGGCGGCTCGGCGGCAGGGCGGCTCGGCAGGGCCGATGGCGGACACGCGTTTGTTGTCGACATCAACAGAGTCCAGGTTACTCGTGAGCACGGTAAAAAGCAAAGACGCGTCGTACTTATGCACCGTCAGCAGCGCCATGAACTGCGTGACGGCGACGCCGTTCTTGAGGAACGTGGCAAACATGTCAAACTTATATCATGTAGCTTGTCTAGGCTATAGTGGGGTAGACACTATGGGGTACAGTTTCCTAGGGTTTCCTACTTGTACCCAACCTTGTGCTAGTTCATACATTCCTCATTCTTCACATGGTATAGAGCAGGTCCCCTCGTGGGAACGCTTCTCAGGGCGCACCAACTAACTCGATCTTTTTTTCCTGCCCGAGGCGTGCCCCGTAGGCCGCCCTCACGTCCCGCCCGCTCTAGGCCCCTCGCGGCCCCTTCACGGCCCTGTCGCCGCCGCTCTAGGCCCCGTCGCCGCCCCTAGCGGCCCCGTCGCCGCCCCTCTAGGCCCCTCGCGGCCCCTTCGCGGCCCCGTCGCCGCCACTTGCGGCACCGTCGCCGCCTCCTCTAGGCCCCTTACGGCCCCTTCGCGGCCTCGTTGCCGCCCCTCTAGGCCCCTTGCGGCCCCTCTGCGGCCCCGTCGCCGCCCCTTCGCGGCCACCTCGCCACCCTTAGCGGCCCCATCTTCGCCCCTAGCGGCCCCATCGCCGCCTCTACCGGCCCCTTCACCGCTGAGCCGCCCAGCACCTGAGCAGCCAAGCCGCCCAGCAGCCGAGCCGCCCAACAGCCGAGCTGCCGAGCCACCCAGCAGCCGAGCCGCCGAGCCGCCCAGCAACCGAGCCGCCCAACAGCCGAGCCGCCGAGCCGCCCAGCACCCGAGCCGCCGTTCCGCCCAGCAACCGAGCCGCCGAGCCACCCAGCAGCAGAGCCACCGAGCCGCCCTGCCGTCGAGCCACTACTGTTCCTACCGGCGCGCCCCGGCCCTACTTACTCGGACTGGTGAGATCACTCCCTGCTAGGCCACTACAGTCATGGCTACCCCCAGTGTCCTTACCTTTGATGCTGAGGGTCGTGCTGCTGACTTTGAGGTCTGGGTCGATGACCTCCAGCTGTTCCTACAGTGCGATAGGGCAGACGGACTCTCCCTGTTCGATCTCACCTCTTGTGCCTCTCCTGCCCCGCCTTCTACTGCTGACAACACTGTTCGCTCACAGTGGGCCACACGCGATGCTGCTGCCCGCCTTGCTGTGCGTCGCCACTTACCGACCACTGAGCGTGCTCACTTTAGCCAGTACAAGAGTGCTAAGACCTTGTACGACGCTGTAGTTGCACGCTACTCCTCCCCTGCCACTGCTGCGCTTAGCAGCCTCATGCTGCCGTACCTGTTCCCTGACCTTGCTGCCTTTCCCACAGTCGCTGACCTCATTACGCACCTTCGCACTAGTGACACTCGCTACCGCTCTGCGCTTCCTGCTGATTTCTGTGCCAAGAACCCCCCACTCATGAACATCACCCTCCACTACATAGTCACCCGGCTCCCTGACTCCCTTCGATTAGTCAGGGACCACTTCCTCTCAGTTTGCCCCACCACACTCATCGTTGACCTCCTCGAGGAGCGCCTCCTAGCAGCAGAGAAGAGCATAGTCGCTGTAGGAGCCTTTCGTGGTGACCCTCGCACCCCTGTTTTTGAGGGGTGTTCTCCCTCCCCCCTCTTGCCCTCTGTTTCCTCTGCTGCTGCGGCCGACCTCATTGGTTTTGAGTCGGTCGGCGCTGCGTCTACCCCTAGCGGGAGACGCCGCACCGGCAAGGGCAAGGGGGGCAAGGGCGCTGGAGGGGATGGCGGGGGCGGTGGAGGTGGTGGTGGAGGCAGTGGAGGGGGTGGGGGTGGTGGTGGGAGTGGTGGCGGGGGTGGAGGTGTCGGTGGCAGCAATGGAGGCGGAGGAGGCGGTGGTGGTGGCAGAAGGAGCGGAGGTGGCGGAGGTGGCGGAGGCGGCGGAGGTGGTGGAGGCGGCGGAGGTGGCGGAGGCGGTGGCGGCAGCGGTGGAGCTGGTCGCGGCTCTGCATAGAGGAGTGGGTCCGGTGGTGGTCCGCGACAGCAGCAGCAGCGCAGTCGTGAGACCCTGTCCCCTCAGCAGCTTCGTGAGTGGTACGCTGCGCGTCAGCGCGGTGGGGGTACTAGTCCCTGCACGTACGTCCTCCGTACCAGCGACCGCGCTGGTGAGCAGTGCGGGGGCCCGCACTCCACCCAGCGCTGCTTTGACCGCCTAACGGACGCGTGGCGTCACCAGTTCCCTGAGGCCTCTGAGATCCCTCGCTGGGTAGAGCTGTCTAGGGCGGGGGTTGCTATCTTTGATCTTGACTTTGATGCTATTCTTGCTGCCATGTATGCTGTGTCTGATAGTGTTGAGGGTGACTGTTACCTGTGTGTTCCGCTTGACCCGGGCATTGAGGCTGCTGCTGCAGGTGCTGGTGAGGCTGCTGCTCTAGGTGCTAGTGCGTCTGCTGCCCCAGGTGCTGGTGAGTCTGCTCTCTCAGGTACTACGTCGGCTCAGGCCTTACACACCTTCACCCTTGACTCGGGTGCTTCCCGCTCCTTCTTTCGAGACCACACCACGCTTACGCCGCTTAGTCGGCCGGTTGCACTCTCCCTGGCGGACCCCTCTGGGGGTCCTGTCCTTGCTACCTTCTCCACTGTCTTACCGTGCCCGACAGCCCCCTCTGGCACCCTGTTAGGTCTCTACCTCCCCTCGTTCTCTACGAACTTGGTGAGTGGAGCTGATCTACAGGATAGAGGGGTTGACCAGTTCACTCCTGCGAGTCAGCGCCCACTGCACGTGTGCTCGGACAGGCCGACACTTGGCCACGTTCACCCGTCGGCCGGGGTCGAGCCTGCACACACTTACTACTGAGTCTCCTCCGGCTGCTTAGTCTGGTCAGGTAGTTGCGTCGAGTTAGGTGTTTGCTGCAGCGTCCAGGTCTGGTCCTGAGTCTGCTCCCTGCTCGTGTCGTCTCCTGTCCCACCAGACTCTCCTTTGGCACCACCGCCTTGGTCACCCCTCCCTGCCTCGTCTCCGAGGCATGGCCTCCCGTGTCCTTGTCTCTGGTCTCCCCCGGTCTCTCCCTCCCCTACCTCCGGGGCCTGGCCCTACCTGCGTCCCCTGCGCCGAGGGGCGACAGCGCGCCGCCCCTCACTCCTCCGAGTTTCCTCCGACAGAGGCTCCGCTGCAGACTCTTCACATGGACGTGTGGGGCCCCGCCTGCGTCCGTGGCCAGGGGCACGAGCGTTACTTCCTGTTGGTGGTTGACGACTATTCGCGTTACACCACAGTCTTCCCCTTGCGCAACAAGGGTGGCGTCACTGAGGTGTTGATCGACTGGATCCGCGCAGCTCGTCTCCGGCTCAGAGAGAGTTTCGGCTCGGACTTTCCTGTTCTGCGTCTGCACTCTGACAGAGGCGGGGAGTTTTCCTCTGCTCGTCTAGGAGCCTTCTGTCGAGCACAGGGCATCCGCCAAACCTTCATGCTTCCGGCCTCTCCACAGCAAAATGGGATTGCTGAGCGCCGCATTGGCATGGTCATGGACGTCGCTCGTACGTCCATGATCCATGCGGCTGCCCCCCATTTTCTGTGGCCGTTTGCGGTTCAGTACGCAGCGCATCAGCTCAACCTTCAGCCCCGGGTCTCCTTGCCAGAGACCTCCCCCACCTTACGGTGGACGGGGAAGGTTGGCGATGCGTCTGCGTTTCGGGTCTGGGGATCTCGGGCGTTTGTCCGCGACTTGTCTACAGACAAGATGTCCCCCCATGCTATTCCCTGCGAATCCTTTGCTTCCCCCCTGACGCGCCTCGGTGGCAGTTTTACCACCCCACCTCGCGCCGAGTTCTGTCCTCCCAGGACGTCACCTTTGACGAGTCGGTGCCTTACTACCGTCTCTTCCCCTACCGCACTGCGCCCCTCCCCCCGCCGTCGCTCTTCCTTGCGCCAGGTCCTCCCCCGGTAGACTCCCTCCCCCCTCAGGGTCCTGCCCCGTAAGGTGTGTCCCAAGTAGACGCAGTCAAGCCTGTCGAGGTAGCTGTTGACTCTAGTGCTGCTAGAGGTGCTGAGCCTGCGGGTGCCGGGTCTGGAGGCGCGGAGCCTGGGGGTGTTGAGCCTGGGGGTGCTGAGCCTGGGGGTGCTGAGTCTGGGGGTGCTGAGCCTGGGAGTGCGGAGCCTAGGGATGTTGGGTCTGCTCGTGTGGCCTCTCGCAGTGATTCGTCGAGGCGGGAGCCGCTCTCTCCGCTGGAGCTGCGCGAGTGGTTTGCCCGGCGCTGGAGCCGTGCTGCTGGAGCTGGAGGTACTACTGTTACTACTGGTCCCGGAGGTACTCGTACTGGCGGTGCTGGAGCTGCTGGGACTGGGGGTGCTTCTAGGGCTGCTGGAGTTGGTCCTGCTGGACTGCTGGAGCTGCTAGCGGTACTGGAGCTGCCGCTCCTGCTGGAGCTGGAGCTCACCATTGCCCTCCTCGAGAAGGAACTGCTTGCAGCTGAGGCTAGCATAGTCGCTGTAGGTGCCTCTCGCGGTGACCCCCGTACCCCGTTCTTTGAGGGGTGTTCTCCCTCCCCCCTTCTTCCCTCTGTCGCCTCTGCTGCTGCTGTCGACCTCCTTGGTGCTGAGAAGGTCGGGACTGCGTCTGCTTCGAGTGGGCGCCGCAGCGGCAAGGGCAAGGGGGGCAAGGGCGGTGGTGGTGACAGCGGGGGTGGCGGTGGTGGGGGAGGTGGTG